ATTACTGTGAGGAGAAGGCAAAGAAGTGTAAGCTTCCCATTGCGTATAAGCCTCTGGAATTGCCGCGCACGGCGGGGACTGAGAACTCGATCTAGCATAATGAGTTTCTTGCTAAGCACCCGAACTGGGTGGCAAATGGGATTTCTGGATTCGTCCTCAAGGGATTCAAAGGAATAATTTAAGAATGGGATTCGGTATTTTCTTCATAAAAACTTGAGGGATTATTGAAGGAAATCGGATCTATGGAAGACAATATGAAGGTTAATTACCAAAATGAGATGGGATTTTTGTACAACTGGAAAATTTTCTGTCGGTGGAGAGATGGAAGGTACATTCAACGCAAAATGCAGAGAGAGATTTAGACAATAATTAATCTTAAATTAGGAAGAACTTAAATCTCGGCCCCCAACGTATTCTCATGGAAACAAATTGACCCTTAACTTGTCACATATAGCAATTTTGTTCTGAATTATTCGTTGCAACTTTATAATTCATCTCAAATGATTAAAAGTTGGAAATCATCCAAATTTTCACTAAATTCATATTTGGGATCCAATTTCTCCAGATTAGATTTTTTTTTAAAAAAATAATTTTTTAGAAAAAATATTGTTAAAAAAGTAGGAATATTTTTTATGTTACGTATAAAATTATTTTATTGAGAGATAGTGTAATTGAAAATTAGTTGTAAAAAGTTAAATTTTTAAAATTGGGTCCTTACAAGGGCTAAATTATCATGTAATCGTTGTAACGACAATTTTCATATCAAATATCTCAAATAAGTGAGAAGAGAGATTCGACTTCATAAAATTAACATGTGAGGTTCACATGGTAATATAACATATTTTTAAGGAAGTTCCTTTATTAAAGGTTGATCACAATATAGTAGGTTTTGAGTTATAAGTGTTTTCTTGTTTTCTATTTGAAGTGAATTCGATTTATATTTTTTTATAGATTGAACTTCAAATATTATCTTTTTAAAGGTTGAAATGTAACTTGCTACTAAAACAATAGTTTAGGTACTAATAGTACAATTTCCCTATTAGTTTATTGTTTGATTAATGTAGTTAAGTGATTGCTAGTTGGAAGATTTTTAATTATTAGACCACGTGGGACCCAAGATATCGGCGGTATTTTCGGACAACCGTATGAGACATAATCGAAAATTAATTTTTCATATATTAACAGTATTGAATAAATTGTCCTAAAATCATATTCAAAATATTAAAGTAAATTTAATAATTAATAATCGGATTTTAATTTCAAAGAATATACCCATTAAAAAGAGTTTTTTGAGAAAAAAAATTAAAAAGTATTTTTTAGAAAATTTTGTAGTTAAAAATAAGAAAAATAATTAGAGTTTACATGTAAAATATTTTATTATTAGAATGTGTGATTGAAAATAAGTTTTTTTAAAAAAAAGTTTCCAAACAATAATAAACCAACAAAAAGTGAGTTCCCGCAAGGGTTGGTAAATAACAGACGTGTTGCATGTATGGGCAGACTTCGTACACAAGTCTGTCAGAACACACACATGGGGGGTGCGTGGGATTTTTTTGACAATTTTTTATTCACGGTGAGTTCCACACATGAGAATGATCTGACCAAATTCTGTGGAATAATTTCTGTACAAATGGCTTAATACTGGCAAATAATTATGCATATACGCTGCACAACTGAAAAGATCGTATGATGAAAACGTCATGGGACGAAGTGAGGTAAATTTGTACTGAATTGCTAATAAATTATAGTATAAAACGAGACGATAAAATTATAAATTTATAAGTAATATAATTAATCACTCAAATGGGTTCGTAATTAGTACTCTTTTATTAAAAAGTAGCCAAAGCCAACTCATTAGTGAACTTTGCATCAAATTCAAAGTTGTTGAAAGGATTCGTTATCAAAGATGAGCTGTTTAATGTATTTGACTTTAGTGATTGTAGTGATACTTCAACAACAAAGACAATTACTCTAGCCCTCATTTGGGCCCCATATCTTTCACAAAAAATAATTTTATAATAGTAAT